GTGTTCAAGGCGAGGTTGGACACAGTGGCTTGTAGCAACCTGCTCTAGTGGAAGGTGTCCCTGCCCATGGCAGGGGTTGGAGCTGGATGATCTTTAAGGTCCCTTCAGCCCAAACCAGTCTGGGATTCTGTGATTAATGGCAGCATGTGCAGGCTGTGTCTTGGGCAGTTATGGAGACCTTGGGAGCTATGGAGAATCCATCCATCCATCTCATAGCAGTTGCTTTGTCCCAGGGTTGTGTGCCATACACTGTGCTGGTTGGTGGGGAGATAGTGAGCACCCAGCACTGCCTGTGACTGATAACTGGGTGGGGTGATCCCTCCCTGTTGCCATCCTTAACCCACACATCCCAGGTGCCCTTCGCTCGCTATCTGGCGATGAACAAGATCACCAACATCAAGCGCTATCACATTGCCAAGGTCTACAGGAGGGACAACCCAGCCATGACCAGGGGCCGCTACCGGGAGTTCTACCAGTGTGTGAGTTTGGCCACTGACAGCGTTACTGCTGAGTGAGGCTGGGCAGTGCCTGTTGAGACCTACCACCATAAAAACCTAGAACCAAAGGCTGGGTTACCTGCTGTGGAAAGCTCAGGAGGATCCACTCACCTTCTCCTTCGCGTGCCCTTATGGGTGTAAAAGGCTGCTTGAGAGTGGCAAAGTGAGGACGGTGGCTGTGGCACAGGGTGCTGGTGTATGAGGGACTTTGTAATACAGCTCCTAGGTGCCTCAGGTGTCTAGCCTGCTTCAAAGCAGCCTTTGCTCCATCCCACAATTCTTGCCAGCCTGGTAGAGGGGAAGAATTTCCTTCTGATCCCAGCAGCAGTTTTACTCCTGGGTGTGTAGCAGGACACATGAACCAGGTGAGCACTTCAGCTGTAGCATATGCTATTTCTGTCCCCTGATTAGTCAATCTGTGTTTCAAAGGAAGGGAAAAACCCAGAGGCCAAACTACAGAACAGGTAAGAAAGCAATTTCCTTTGTGGCTTTTTCAGATGAGTGTAGTAGCTCCAAGGAATGGATTTGTTCCACTGTAGTAACAGTTCCCAGGGCCTCATATTGCAAACAGATTTCTGTTTGAGAATATTCCTGTTACATTGTACCCTGTGGATACCTTCTGGCTGCAGCTTGGTGAATTACCTTTTTCAGACCACTCTACCTCTTGTCTCATCTGAAAGACTTCCAAGATCTCACTCCTAGGATATCTAGAAATAGTCCTTAATATACAGGCTAACCTTCCTTGCATTTGATAGCTGCTGTTTAAAGAGCTGCACTGGCACAGGGAGATGTAAACTGTCATACCTTGGCACAGATTCTTCCTGTGCCCCAGATAAACATTTGGGAAATGATTAGAGAAATCTTTCCTTCCTTAGGCCACATAAATCATCTATTACTTTCTCTCCCTGGAGATACTTCTCTTTGCTCAGCCTAGGAGCTGGTTCTGCATCTTTTCCTAAATAGAATTCCCCAGCCCTTGGTTGAGTTTTTCAGTGTCATTTCACCTGTGTCACATACACTGGTAATGGCAGTTTCCTGACTGAACCAGCCCTTACCCAACTTCCACAGGGATTGCATCAGCCTTTCTTGCACTCAGCTGCTCAGGGACTAACTGATGTGATCTGTTTCCTCCTCCATTGCCCTGATTTCTTTTGGAAGCTTGGTGAAACCATGCGGAAATTCACCCACTTAATGAAAATTATTTTTGTATTCAAAGTCTTATTGAAGACTTTGCATTTTGGGATTCATAAATGGGAGTTACATAGAAGGAATCTTGTTGCTTCTGTGGTTTATTTCTCTCAGACTACTGATGTTGTCTTTGCTATTTTCCAGTCACAGGCTATTCAAACACCTTTATGTGCTGTTTCATCTGGGAGTCTCTGGTGGAGACCACTTGGGCTTTATGATCTCTTTTTCTGTCTTGGCAGTGGAAACTTTGGGTTTTGCCTCATTTGAGATCACATCTTGTCCTGGGTTCAGTGCTTCAACCACGACACTTCTCGTCTTGTTCCCTGGTCATTAACTTGACCGGCATGTGTATTAAAAAAGAAGATCCTAAGAATCAAAATGACGTATTTTGCATTTAGGTCATACCAAATAATTAATTTTCTCCCTTTCCTGGTTCCTTTGTTCTATTTATTTACTGCTGCTGATTGCTCTGCTGTCTCCTTTCTGTTGTGTTTTAAGGATCTCTGTTTCAAAGTGATCACACAGTAAACTGCTGTGCCAGAGGCAGGGAGCACATCCAGAGGCATAAAGCAGGGAGAAGCAGAATAGCTTCTTGCAAACTGGAGAGGGCTGGAGCAGCTCTGCTCTGGAGCCAGGCTGAGAGAGCTGAGCTGGCTCAGCCTGGAAAAGAGAGGCTTCTGAAGGGGAGACCTCAGAGCAGCTCCAGTGCCTTAAAGGGGCTCCGGGAGATCTGGAGAGGGGCTTTGGACAAGGGCCTGTAGGGGCAGGCCAAGGGGAATGTCTTTAACCGGCCAGATGGGAGATTGAGATGAGCTCTTAGGCAGAAGCTCTTCCCTGTGAGGGTGCTGAGGCACTGGCACAGGGTGCCCAGAGAAGCTGTGGCTGCCCCATCCCTGTCCGTGTTCAAGGCGAGATTGGACACAGGGGCTTGTAGCAACCTGCTCTAGTGGAAGGTGTCCCTGCCCGTGGCAGCGGGTTGGAAACGGATGAGCTTTAAAGGTCTCTTCACACCCAAACCAGTCTGGGATTCTATGAAACTCTCTGCACTGCCTATGACAGAGTGTACAAACTCTTTGCAATGCTGTGGACACAAGAGCACCTCTGCCCTCAGTGAAAGAGGATCATAAACCCACATCCTGTTCTTTCTGGATCCTATCAGCAAGGGCTAGTGCTCCCTTACACTCTATTTCTGTTGCTTTTTGTAAGCAAGCTGCTGTTAACAGCAGAGCTGAAGCTGTATTGCTGCAGCCACACCAGTGGTGCTCATTTGTTCACTGCTTTTCCTGTCCCCAGGACTTTGACATTGCCGGGCAGTTCGACCCCATGATTCCCGATGCTGAGTGCCTGAAGATCGTGCATGAGATCCTGAGGGACCTGCAGCTCGGGGACTTCCTCATCAAGGTGAGACTCAGCAGGTTTCTCTGTGTCACAGTGGGAACTGTGGTCATTGTTCCTGTGGTTTATGCAGCAGTACTTGTTCCCACTCTTAAAGCTCACTAAAGCCTGGTCCAGAAGCTCATCCTGCCTCTGCCTCCCCTGGTGCATATGCTGTGAGGCTGGAGCTCAGCTCAGACATGCCTTCAAGCTGGGAATGCAGGGAGGTTTCCTGAGGCTGCAGTAGCAGAGCTCTCTTTAGCACTAGCCACAGTCCCCTGCAAAATGTCCAGCAGCCAACTAACAGGGTGACTGTCCTGTTCACTGCCTACAGTAGAACACAGGCTCTGGCCCAGGATCCCTGCCCTTGTCCCAGCTCCTGATGGCTTCTCAGTAGGGATATCTGCTCACTGCATGCTGTGTTCTCTGCAGGTTCCTGCCTTCCCACCAAGTCCTTTCTGGGGCTGAGGTGTTTTCCAGAAGAAGAGTCAAGCAGGTTGAGCTATTTGCTATAAAACACCTCCATTATCTTGGTGTGGCAGCAAATAGTGCTGGGTGTGCAGGTCAGGCAGGATGGGGAAGGGGGTACAGCAGTAGGAGAGCAATGGGAAGGAGTGCTTGATGTGCAGGAGGCTGTTGGGACCTCTGAGAGGGACCCAGAGCTGGGTCATTGCTGAGATCTGCAGGGGAGGTGAGCAGTGTGGGCTGGGTGTTGTGCTCCTGTGTGCAGCCCCCACTGGGTAGGGGAGCAGTTACCTTCACTTGAACCTGTGTGGGATGAGCTAAGAGCTGTGCATAGGAGCTGCCTGTTCAGCTACCGTGTGTTTGGGCAGTGGTGAAAGAGGATGCCTTTGAGGATGAGAAGGCACCCTGCAAGAGGGGCAGCAGAGTGACCTGCCTGCAGTTGTTCTTGTTTTCCATGAGCCACTGTCTGGTTCATGTTGATGCTGGAGGATTACAAGCTCCTGAGCAGTCTTTGTTTCCATCTAATTTAATTGTAGATGTTCTCAGTAACCATGAAATACCGAATCCAGCTGAGCCTTTGGCCACAATTACCTGCTATTACAGAGCATAATTAAACTCTGGAATTCACTGTACTATCAAAAAAGAATAAAACAAAATCACTTGGTGAGGTTTTAATGTCCCCTTGTTCTTACACTGGGAGAGCAAGATAACGCACCGAATTCATGTCCCTAGCCCACAGTCTGTTCCTGACCTGATCTTATGTGTCCACGCGAGAGGACTCGAAGGCCACACTGGATTTTCTTCTCTGTTGAGTAGAGGTGTGTGTGGCTCTAGAAGGTGAACATGATAGCCCTGCCCAGGCTTGGTAGCCATCAGTTGTGGTAGCTGGCCTATCATGGGCACAGAGGCAGCTCCGCTCCCTGGGAATGGGGAAGAGATAGATTCCAAACAGCAAAAAGCCTTAGCAGACATCTGCTGGTTTCTCTTCTGCACTTAAAAACAGTGAGAAGAGAAACTGGACCCAGCTGAAGCATCTCTTTGAGTTATTCCCTCTGCCACAGGTCAACGATCGGCGCATCCTTGATGGGATGTTTGCAGTTTGTGGTATCCCGGACAGCAAATTCCGAACGATCTGCTCCAGCGTGGACAAACTGGACAAGGTATGGGCTGGAGGCCTGGGCTGCAAGTGCTGCTGCTGGAGTGGCAGTGAGGCTCCGTCCCCCTGGGCTGCTCTCCCCATGATCCAGGAGAAGTGGCTGGATGTTCGGTTCTGGCCAGAAATTAAACTCCAGAGTATTTGTCCTGGGGCTTCAGTTGTTTTGGCAGCTCTGCTGACTGCAGGGTTGGGATACAGCCAGACTGAGAGAGGAACAAGAAATGGAGTTACAGCCATGCTCCGAGAGCATTCGATCTGCTGCTTCTCTCGTGCACCTCTTAACCACACTGAGTCTGGTGGGGTTCTGCTGTATAAAGATCTGTTGAGGGCAGATATATTTGTTCATCTCCATCGGGCAGGACTAGCAGAGACCTTCCCCAGGAGAGACCACGTTCCTGGAGCTGTGGCTGATGTTCTTCTCTGCCCTCACAGGGGCCGTGGGAAGAAGGGAGGAGGGAGATGGTGGGGGAGAAGGGGCTCTCTCCCGAGGCTGCGGATCACGTTGGGGAGTACGTCCAGCTTCACGGTGAGCACTGCGGGGTCGAGCCCCTGGCTTTGCTCTTCCAGGAAGGGCTGGGAATGAGGGGCTGGGAATGAACATGGCTGGCCAGGCCCATCATTGTGACCAGAGGCTCCTTCCCACAGGTGGCCTGGAGCTGATTGAGCAGCTTCTCCAGGACCCAAAGCTGTCTCAGAACAAGCTGGCCAAGGAGGGACTGGGGGACATGAAGCAGCTTTTTGAGTACCTGACGCCTCTTTGCAAACCATGG